GAAAAGAATGAAATTCCAAATATGTCAAATAAACCAAAAGCTACATATGTTAATTCCAGAGCATGTACCAAGAATAAAAATACAGAGCTAGACCAATACAGCCAGGACTGTACTAATCTGGTTCTAGAGAATCTATTCGAAAATTCAAAGAAACAGCAAAAATAATAGAAGAAGCCGACAGCTACGTATGTCAGTCCATCAGCTGTACTGAGAATAAATACAGAGTTAAACTATGACAGCAAGAACAGTAGGAAAGTTAATCCTGTTCTGGAGAATCAATTAGAAAATTCAGAGAAACAACAAGAGGACAAGAAGAATTTAAGAGAAAACTTCCAGCTGTAAAAAAAAGATTCAAACCCCCTCCCCCCCCCTTTGCATCTCTTACTAGAGAAAATAGTTGACATTGAGGATGACGTAAAAAGAGATTACAGAGACAGGGAGAATGCAGCTGGGACAAAAGTAAAAGAACCTAACAGAATTAAAGAAGAACCGGATATGAAAGCAACCAAGGAATAGGACAAATTAGATCTAGACCTTGACCAGAAATCTAGAGAGAGGATGAGTTAATGATAAGGGAAAGCAATAAAAGAAAGCCAAAACAATCATACAGTGAAACAAAATGGAGAAATAGAGAGGGGATAAAGAGAAATAAATGAAGCAATAACTGAGAATTGTCTGTGAAGAAATTGAAGCCCTCATAGATCATTCAGACAAGCCAGTGGTAACGAGTCTTAACATAATGGTATACCAGCACGGAACAGAGAATCAATATACCAAATCTTGCCTGGGCATAACTGTAAAATCTACTAAATTAACGGGGGTCTTTATCAGTCTTGAACCACAGACATGTATGCTTTCCCCAGTGGAATCTAGAGAAATTCAAGACCTCCTGCCATGTTTCATTATAATGCGCGCAAAGAGAGCAAGATGTCAGAAGCTGTGAGCTGTGGCTCAATATCAAGATTGACTGAAACTATAACTTGCATCCCGTGGAAAAAAACTGGCCTTTTTGTAAGAAGGATGGGTTTATATGTTTTCAAATATTTATGAGTGACCATCGAAGTTCCACTGTCAGAAATATTTTTTTGCGTCCCTGCCGCACCAGTTTTAATCCGTAGATCCATTCGTTATGCAAACCTTGATTGTCTGGTCACAACTAGTATGCTTGGACGAGTCTTTAACAATGGATAGAATGCTCAGGGATTAACAGTCTAGAGGAGCATAATTGTTAAATGATCTCAACCCCTTGGGATTCCATCGTCTCAAGGGAGTTTTTGATGATCAAGGATTTTATCCTATTCAGTTTGGCTATCGAGTATTTTTCTCTTAATATATCATGCATTGTAGCCGTCCTGATGTCTGGTCTGACACCCTCAATTGCTGCTCTCATCAACAGGATCACATTAGACTGGGGCCGACCTCGGAACAAAAAGAAACCTATAGTCAAAGCTATGAGGCTGGGAGACTTGCTAGCTAATGAGGATGCTGTAGGATTTAAAATAAGGCATCTTTAGCTCTATTATTCAAACACTCTCTGCCCCACCCCGCATTTGTAATAAAAATTTGTATATGCTTTTTCATTGTTTATCTTGTATGTAAATCTATGTTCGTAATACATTATCTATTGGAGTAAGGGATTTGTTACATAAATGGTTATGTATGTATGTAAATATAAATAATTAAAAAGATTAATTATAAAACAATCTCCTGAGAAATTGATTAAAGGCAACAATTTAGATGTTAAAGGGACTGTAAGCGTTATTTCAAGTGACACTTCATGCGAAGATAACAAGTATGAATTAGATATCAATGTTTTTGATTTTGAAAACTAATTATTTTCAATTGTAAGTTCTCTACAAAAATTCTCTCTGCATGTAAACTGCAGGAAAATATATATGAATTATCAGTATTAAACACTTTAGACTGACAATATCTTAAAAATCTTAAAAACAGTATAAATATATTTTCAGCAATTGACCCCTAGATACCAAAAAATGGACATTATATTTCTTAGGATAATGGTTTTGGAACCGTAGGTCGTTTTCTGCCGTTGAACGTATTTTGATATTCCACGGACAACGCCGGGCAGGAAATAAAGTCTAGAGCATTTTTTCTTTTGATTATCAGACTAATGATAAAGATGCAAACATAATACTAGGTTTATTTATCATCTTTATAAGTATTATATCTTAGATATGCTTTTAGTCCAACATAAGCATCATTTTCTTCTCCTAGAAATAGAGATGGGCATCATTCTTTATGGACAAACTTAATTTTTTAGAACAAACGTAATTTTTCATGGAAAAGGGTGTTGTTCAGTAGTAAAAGAAGGATGGACCAACAAAATGGACCGTGTTTAGAGAAATGAAAAAAATTGTTTTATTTTGCTGAACGAACGAATTTTCCGAAAGATTTAAAAAAAAAAGGACCTTTCTTTACTCAGCGAACGATTTTTTGGAACAAAATTAAAAACCACTATCGTTTCTTAATGAATAAAAGATTTTTAAACCAAATATTTGAGAACAACGAGCAATTGAAAAAAAACGAACGAAATGAACAATGAACAAACGAAATGAAATAAAAAGTCGAGCATGCCCATCTCTATCTAAAGGATAAAGTAAGGGGTAATGGATGAGGATGAAGTAAGGTGAAGGGGAATAGATGAGGATGAAGTAAGGTAAGGGGGAATAAATGAGGATGAAGTAAGGTGAGGGGGCATGGATAAGGATGTAGTAAGGTGAGGGGGCATGGATAAGGATGAAGTAAGGTGAGATTTCTAAAGAACATTTTNGGATAAGGATGTAGTAAGGTGAGGGGGAATGGATGAGGATGAAGTTAGGGGGAATGGATGAAGATGAAGTAAGGTGAGGGGGAATGGATGAGGATGAGGTATAGGTGAAGGGAAATGGATGAGGATGAAGTAAGGTGAGGGGGAAGGAATGAGGATGAAGTAAGGTAAATGATCAATTATTTTGTCATATTTTACATTAATGTCAACAATACGGATTGTAAACACAAGGAGGTTAAAACTGCCTAAAATACTCATGAACAAGTTCAGTTTTGGGTGGAGGAAATGCAGAGTTGATTCATCCGCTCTGAACGAAAAACTTTGTTATGGAAGCTTATATGTATGGAGATAATATAATAGGAGTGGATATCGAAATTAATTCTTATTTTATGCCATCCGCTAATTATTACGAACTCTCCCTTTCAATTCTTTCCTCAAATCCCTTCTTCTTCTTCAAAGAGCTCATTAAAATTTCAATTTAATCTGCGTTTGTGAGTATTCTTAACTCTGTATTTCCACAAAGATGATGTTTAATTAGAATTGGTATTCATTCTATATATATAGCCTCTTAAGTTCTAATTTCCAGATATTCTGCTTTCAACGTCTTTTCATTCAGCAATAAACCTTTTACGTTTTAAAAATTTGATGCACCGCCGCCAACGTAATTTTAAAAGTGGTCCACGTGGGTTTAACGGTTCGGTCAATATTCCAGAAAGATGTGACTTTCGATCACAATTTAACCCATGAAAACAATTTTTTTGTCTTTTTTTAAATACTTTTTTTGTCGGCATATGCATTTTGAAGGAAAACGTATAGAACATAATAATCCGTGAGATAAAAGATTGTTGAATTATACACAGACGAAAACACGTTTGATTTCAAATAGAAGAAACCGAATGCTGCTCACTCTGGTGGGTCCTTTATTCTGAAATACATCTTTTACATCCCAGACCCATCTCCAATGCTCTCTCCATTTGCTAACGAATCACTTAAAATAATAGAAGCTGTACCTTCGGCTTCAAGATATTAAAAAGATAAAAGTGGTACTGAAAAAAATAGCGCGGATACAAACCCTTAACTCCGCAGTGGATATCTTCAAAATCAAACAATTGTTCTTTAAAAAATATTATAAGATATCGTTAGACTAAAACCCGTTAAAGTTTAACGCTTTTAAATGTTGTTATTTTTCCCAGCAAACCCCCTACAGTACTCCACCTTGCCTTTCTGATAGGTGTCTTCGTTTTGAATATTTTCATAAATGTAAAAACTAAATTTTGAAGCAAAATGTTTAGAATTTGATAAGTTTTAAATTACTAAATCCTCGTCGATATTTTAAAGACGGTGAGGATTAAAGTATAGTTTTCTGGTGACAACTGTTCAAAAAATCAGAAAAAGTTCAAGCTATATATCTCGAGAAAAAAAACTTATTTACATCATTTATTGTTAAGGATAAGTACATACGATAAAGGTACAGTACATAATTTTCTATCACATTGTACAACGTTAATCACAACAAAATTGGTGTTTAGTTGTAGTAAACATTTTCACTTTTTAGTAAAATTAAATCATAAGGAGTAAAGTCTTTCATTCTTTTGTTTACAAAAATTATTTTTAGAATATGAAAACGGAGAAATATTTTTACATATTTTGATTAGAATTGTCCAATAAAAACAGAGTTATTGCTCTATTATAGCTGCGCAAAAAGGGCAAAACATTATCGACTAATGTATTTTTCTCAGAAAATTATTGGTTTTTTATTATAGCACTTTTTCATTTAATCATTTGCATATATACAGAAATAAAAAGATTTAAAGGAAAGGGTACAAGGTGCAACAAAAAAAGAAAAATGTTTTTAAATGTGGTCTAAAAATGCCCTATAAAAGTTTTATTTTGTAAGTGGTAAAATGAAAGATAGACTACAATGGCACTACAAAAAAATTGGAGAGAAATGTACAGAAAATCACATTATTTTGACGTTTATTATTCATCCGAGTTGAATACAAGTCTCAGATTATATTCCTAAAGTTTATTTGAAAAATATATATGATCACATATTTTTGTCACATTTACGTTAATCTCACTAATACGAATTTTCTCTGTGTTTGAAGGATTGCATGAACCAAAGTCAAGGTTTTATATCTTAAGTATAGAAACCCTTAAATTATTTTTTGAAATCCGAACTTGTTTTTCCATTAGAACTTCTTCATTGGTCTTTGAGAGAAAAAATAGTTACTTTCCTAATAGTTTTCTGGCAGTGGTTTAGAGCTACCGGTTTTACCACCGGAGGGTGAGGAAGTCGGCGTTAAACCGGAAGTGAGGATATGATTTCAAACCAGAAGTGTGAAACCGGTTTAAAACTGGAAGTGAGGATAGGATTTTAAACCGGGGAGGTGTGAAACCGGATTAAACAGATTTCAAACCGGAAGTATACAGCCGGTTTAAAATCCGGAAGTGATGAAACCGGTTTAGCTTCTTCTACTGACAAGACTGCTATGGCTGTAGGCAGTGTTATTGTAAGGTCCACTACTGTACAAGGAAGACCCTGAAAATATTTAGAAAAGTTAAATATTTTTGTTCTAAAGAAAAGATTAAAATTCATTTTAGCACTGTTTTGGTCAATTATTGAATGAGAATTTCAACACTAAAGACTATTTAATTAGAGTTGATTTGAAATTATAAAATTGACATGAAAAAAAACAATAAAAATTTCCGTAATTGCGCATTTTCTTGTTTTTGTTTTTTCTACACATCAACCTGAAAACATGTTTTGATGATGCCAATCAGGAAATAACTTTAAAAAGAAAAATAGTAATAAATAAAAAATCACTTCAAAGTTTTATGTTGCGATGTACGTGATTCAATTTCGAATAGTTTTTTTTGCAAAAGCTAAGATTTTGCGCACAAAACTTACATCAAAAATTTCGAAATTACAATTTAAAGTTGAATAAAACTCAAGCCTATAAGAGGAACATATAAAAAAACAATAATTGTTTTCTTTTGAATCTTCACCTGTAGTGCTCAGATTCTTCCTGCGACGCTTAGAGACCAGAATCAGAATCGCGATTATGACAGCAATCATTAGAATGAGACCAGCGATCGCTATTCCGATTGCAAAGCTTCTCTGTGATATACAGAAATTGTTCTGATCGACCAGTTTCTAAAAAAAATATTTTCAGTTTTAGAAAAAAGAAATTGTTAGAAATATGTTGGGTTTAAGCCAGAATAAGAGTTTAGACAGAGGAACTGAGTTGTTGCATCAAACTCAAATTTTCAAATCCCTTTTATCTTAGGAACCTGATGGGTTGAGCCTTTGATATTTCAAAATAATACTTATTGATCGTGAACATTGTTCATGGTTTGTAATATCAAAGGTCTACGACATCAGGTTGCACAGATATGAGGATTAGAACATCAGAGTTTGTGGAAAAACTCAGTTCCTTTTGCAGCATTTAAATACTTATTTCATTTTGATCGAAATTTTACTTTTAAAATTGTTGCTAAAATTTTCGCCACCGGCCTTTGTCCACACATTTCAAGATGGTTTAAGGTTTTCTAAATTAATTTACAGTTGTGTGTTTGAAATATGATATTTTATTCAAAAATTTTGTTTAGTCCCCCCCTAAAAACATTTTTTTTCACGCTGAGCGCTTCAGCTGGTACTCCCTAAACGTCATGATTTATAAATATTATTTTAGTTAAACCAGAAGAAGTGTATTCAGATAAAATGTTGTAAAAAGTTTAAATAGTTTGAATCCCTCCTGGGAACATTTTCAACCTTATCTCTACTTAACACTTTGTGACGAAAGGAAGAATAGAATTTTACCAATATCAAGCTTTTAGTAAACATTTTATAAATTTTCAAAAAGTGGCTCTTAGAAGAAAAAGCTAATTTCAATAACAATCAAAAATCTAGTTATAGAAGATATCTTGGTTTTCAATCATTTCCAAAAAACGGTTTCATAAAATTATGCCTCAGAGACAAACAAAATGTATAAAAATGAATTGTCAAAATTCAACAGTTTTCCAGATAGGGAACCAAACATGTTTCCAGATAGGAAACCAGATAGTTTATATATACATATAGAAAACCAGATAGTTTCATTTACCTTAATGGTTTCCTCCTTCTCAAGATCATAAACACTATCTTTCTCGGAGATTTCAACAACTTGACGTCGTCTTCGTACCAGGTTGATCCCGTTCTCACACACTGGAGGCTAGATTATAACATTTTTAACATCTTATAAATGTCGTCTTAAATTAGTTTTAGAGAATGAGAAATATTCGTTTTTCGCTACATTTATTATTTGAATAGAATCTCACAAAAATTGGAATTCCTTTTAACTCTGATATCATTCCACGAATTTTTATAGAAATATCATAAAACATTATGAAAATTTAATCATAACTTGATAGAATTAAATAAAAACGTTATAGATTATAATAAAAGTTTTAGAAATAACTATCAAAATACTGCAATCATCTATAGAATGAGAAGAATATTTAATAGTTTTTTTTTCAGGGCTTAACGGGATTTTCTGAACATTGTTAGAAATACTTTTTATATGCAATGAGAAAAAAAAACATTGACATACAGTGCATTTATTGATCAACGTTTTTAAGATTCGATAAGCAGTGGTTTTACAAGCAAAAATTTGATTTTAAAAATCAACACATGTATTGATTATGGATCGTACTGTGAATACAAACAATCCATTGAATCTTGTTTAATATACAAGATATACAGCATAACTCACAAAGGATGAGACTGTAAAGACGACCTAAAACTCTCAAAATATAAAGATTGAATAAAATCTGACTTGAATATAGTTTTTTAAGACTTATTTAATGATTTGGCAAAGAGCGAAACCTGTTTACATCTGCAGGAAACAGACAGTGTAAATTCCGTACAATCTTATCTGAAGTCTCATCCTTTATGGGTAACCCTGTATACTTGGTAATAACTTTGTTTTATTGGTGCAATAGTTGAGAGTACGTAGAAGCCAGCTACTAACTACACTACTGGGATTTACAGAAACTATACATCCCATCCAGTTATATGCATATTCACTATACAGGGTGACCCACAAAGGATGAGACTTCAGAGACGATTGTGGATAATTGCTTTAGTCTTTTATCTTTGTGTCCCTACAACTGTAATCTTGTTTCTAATCCAAATAATTACCGTTTAAAGACGATATTCAAGCAAGGCAAAAAAAATAACTTTTTAAAGATCATTAGGTCGTCATTAAAGACTAGTCCTTTGTAGGTAACTCTGTATTCTCTTCAAAACAGGAGAGGGGGGGGGGATAAAATGGGCACTCATTTTTGGGCTTGTTTTAAACAATTGAAAGTTTTTTTTGGCATACACATTGATTCAAAGGTTGCAAGCCAATAAATAAAATTCTTGATAATTAAAAACAATTGATTGCATACAGTTTAAAGACGATTTGAAGATTGTCTTCAGTCTTTGAATCAGACTCTCAACTGTCATGTTTCTTGGGACACCCTGTATCTTGTGTAAGAAAAAATATTTGCCTTAGTTTTATCAACTGTAAACTATACTAGAACATACAATTTTGTAAAGGAATTCAGTTTTTGCCACAAATTCTGATTTCGGAGACCCTTGATATTAAAAATTCTATTAGATTAAATAGTCTAAGTTTAAAATATTCAAGGTTTACACCATTAGGTTGCAAAAATTTGGGATTTGAGTTAGTGGCAAAAACTCAATCCCTTTCTTAGATTTTGTAAAACCTTAAAAAAACTGTATGTGAAAATAGAAATAAAAATCTATAGCCAATGCTAGGGCTAGTGGAGGCATTGGGTACAATTTTTTTATGGTGATTAGGCTTTTTATTGTATTGTGCATCTTTTGTTTATGTTTTGTATAGGATAGAAGTGATGACGTGACTGTAGAAGAGTATATTTAATATATTATATTCAACCAACAAGTAATTTTTTGTGGGATCTGAATTGGCCCCTAATGTCCATGGGGGGGGGGGCTAGTATTTTTAATTTAACCCATGATAGATTGTATACTGTTTATAATTCCCCTGTAGAGTAGCTTAATCTGAAAAATTGTCAAATTCAGTAATGTAGAAAAACGACTTAATTGAGAATTAGAAAATAATGATACAACGAGAACAAAAAGTAATAACAAAATGGAGAGAAATATAAATAAAGCAAAATTTTTTTTAAAAATAAAAAAAAACTTACAACTTGGTCGCATCCTCCGGCATGCTTAATGCACAGCTTTACATTGCACTGGTAATAAACAGAACTTGTGTACGGGAACTTGTGAGCCTGAAAAAATTGAATTTTTTAATAGTTTATTTTTTTATAATTACATACGAGCTATGGTTAAACAATGATAAGAATACGATGAATTAGCCCCAAACCATAGAGTAATAAAACGAAGAGGTGAAGCTTAGTTTAGATGTACACTACCGACCTGTCTATTAATTAATTAATCGGTCGGTTGTGTACATCGCGATATGTTTACGTATCTAACCCTGTATAGAGCGATCGTATTTCTAAGGAGTGGTTTAATGTAGATATTTGAATATTAGTGTTGATAATTAGATAGATTAGATCGAATAAATGTAAAAAATAATTTTTTGTTTAAAACAAATATCAAAGTGTGACACACGTTTCTACACCCATTTTTCAAGGGCTTTTCAAAACTATAGTTTTCAGATCTGTAGCTTTAGTCATAAAAAAGTTATGGGCTATTTAAGATTTTTTTACATACTCTGATTTTTTATCGCCCTGCACCCTACCTTAGGCGTAAAAAAAATACCAAAACATCTCTTAACATTCTATTTATGAAAAGTTTTATATCAATTTCTCGAGACAGGAACATCAGATAAAACTTTCATGGGTCAAGATCAAGAGCTAAAGTGATTAGCTTTCAGTCTATACCCCCTTTCATTTTTCCTTTACAGTCCCTTTAAATCACGCTTTTAAATATAATCCCTTTGATGACGAGGTGTGATTTTATTGTATGACACAGTGGGGTGGTATTGCAGGTGTAATAAGGAGATATACAAGCTATACCGCCTTTCATTTCGCGTATACTCTCTTTGGCCTCGAAAGTAAAAATCCAATAAGATGTAAAATTATGATAAAGTTTATCCCAGATATTTGAAGCCATCGAACGAATAAATAAAATGTCGTTTTCTTAACCTACTGACAATGGAATGCTGCAGATATTAAGTTTTTTAATTGAATAATTATATGAAGCCAAAGAGAATTCTTTGTTCTGTGTATGATGATGCTCTTTAAAACAGTTTCCGCACATTTTATGGCAATTTCTTTATTTTAAAATTAATAATATTTAGGTATAAAAGTGTAAAACTCTTTCGATATCCCCGATAAACTATGGAATTGGAAGACGACTTTTATATTCAAGAAATGGTTTTGTATGCAGTCCAATGAACAAAAAACACAGCAGTTGTGCTTGAACGTATATTCATTTCCCTTAATACGTTTTATACTATACTGGTAAAACTAGTTGTTGTACAACAACAACAACAACAACAACAACAACAACAACAACAACAACAAAAACAACAACAACAACAACAACAACAACAACAACAACAACATCAACAACAACAACAACAACAACAACAACAACAACAACAACATCAACATCAGTTAAAAAAAAATTACGATTTTCAAAAGTCATCTTCCTATTCCACAGTTTTATTGATCACACTGTACAATACAAGACGAAAACGCAACAAATGAATATCTAACATAAAATGAAAAGAAAAACATTTAAAACTTTAGTATAAAAGCCACAAATCTGTTGAGCATTACGGTAGCAATAAAACTGTTAAATTAAATCCTCAAGACTTTAGTTTAATTTGAAAATATCCTATCTCTAGGTTGCAAAGTTTCCTGTTTTATGTTAGAAGCTAGGAATTTACTGTTATTAGACAACTTAGAGAATCTTTAAACTGAACCAAAACCTTAGAAACCAGACCAAACTTGGCTTCTTTTTACAACAATAAAAGTTTATAATTATTTTGTTGTTTGACACTAATTCTATTTGAAATTATATTAAAAAAACTTAATGTAAATATTTGTATCTACTTTTGTATGATTGGAAAACTTTTTTGTTTCTTTTACAAACTTTGAAAGAAAACAAATATAAAATTTCATCTTAACGTCCATTTTATAGTTTTTCCTGTGGGTTTCTTTAAAAACCTGGTCTTTAAAAAAACAAAGACGACTTGTAATGCAAAACAAAATAATTTAGTCCAAAGCGTTTCGAATTCAAAATTTTATTTGGGCTAAATCATATTATCACTTTAGCTTTCTGATGACATTTTTTCCTTTATAACTTTGTTTATATGAGTGTTAAGCAAAGACGATATTTGATAAGTTTACCTGAAATCTGACAAGCGCAGTTGTTTTGCTCTCACTGTACTCAAATTCACCCATTATCTCATCATCCTCAGGGCACCTGTACAGTGTACAGTATACATATAGTCTAAGGTGTACATGCAGTCTACAATACAGTCTACAATGTACATAAAGTCTTCAGTGTACATACAGTCTACAGTCTACATATAGTCTACAGTGTACATATAGTCTACAGCAGATAAAGTCAACAGCGTAGATATATTCTACTATGTACATATAGTCTACGTACATACTGCTTACATTCATGACAGACAACAGACCATGTACATACAAATTCAATTTTCGTATCCACTGTGAATTTAGTGAACATAAAGTGTAACATTCAATGTATGTTCAGTATTTATACATAAAGGATACATTCAATGTTTACACAGAGCCCGAAATTTATTAGAGTTTTCCTTTTTGGGGTCTTAACACTTGTGAAGATTTTGATTAAAGAGATTTTAAAAATGGAGTATTTTAAGAAACTAAATAAAATAATATTTCATACGAAAATATTGATTTCCACAAACAAAACTGCCTGACCCCATTCGTGAAACCCGGGTTTCAAAACTGGTTTTTATATCGATACCCTGTCTTAAGTTCTGGGCTCAGTGTACATGAAGGGTACATTATATGCATATACAGTGTACATAAAGGCTACATTCAATAAGAACATACAATGAACATTCAATGTACATTAATTGTAAACACGATCATTGCGTATATAGTGTACATATCATGTATATAAGGTGTACGCGAGTAGTATGTACTAAGTACACTTTATAAATGTAAAACATGTTTTGAAAACTAAGCCACATATTATAAATAATGGTGCTATTGCAGTACAGATGTAAACTCCAGATTTCTCAAAGGGACCGTATAGCCGTACTGTTAAGTGCCTCACTATTTGTAGAGTTGCATGGGTCTGATTAAAGATCGTGTCTAATTTTTGTCTAATAAAGGATGACGGAGAGTGTGCTTACGTATTTTATCATTTGAAACTAAGCCTACAGTCCCTTTAATATCATATTATTATTTATCTTATATATATTCAGGTATAAACTGACCCTTCGATATTAATCAGCTGTTGCTCAGTCCAGCCCAGACCATCTCTAACCAGGCATTCGGTCACATGCATTCCATACACATCCTAGAAAAATTGATCAATTAATCAATTAGTCAATTCAGTCACATGTATTCCATACACATCTTAAAATTATAATCAATCAATTCAGGTAGTCACATGCATTCCAAACACATCCTAGAATATAATCAATTAATAAAATTGATCAATTCAGTCACATGCATTCCATACACATGGAAAAGATATGCGTCCCATACACATCCTAGAAATGTAATCAATCAATCAATAAATGGAGTTATATGCGTCCCATACACATCCTATAAAAAAAAAATCAATCAATCAATGGAACGATATGCGTCCCATACAAATCCTAGAGAAGTATTCACTCAATCAATCAATTAATTGAGTCATCTATGTACCATATACATCCTAGAAATATAATCAATAAATCAATAATCAATCAATGGAGTCATATGCGTCCCATACACATTCTAGAAATGTAATTAATCAATCAATCAATAGAATCACATGCATTCCATACAAATCCTAGAAATGTAATTAATCAATCAATCAATCAATGGAACCATATGCATTCCAAACACATCCTAGAATATAATCAATTAATTTGGTCACATATATTTCCTACACATCCTAGAAATATGATTAATAAATTGATGGAGTCACATTATCCCATACCCAGCCTAGAATTATAATCAATCAATCAATCAATATGTAGCCTAGGCACATGCATTTCAAACACATCCTAGCGTATAATCAATCAATTCGGTCACGTCAATTAATCAATATATATACAATATATGTCAATCAAGAAATCAATTGGCAAATCAATTAATAATAGTTAATAATCGATCAAAATAATGATTTTGAAAAAGATCATTTCAACGCAACCAATTTAGAATTGATTAAAGAATATTACAAAAAGACTAAATTATATGCGAAGTATTGATCAACAAATGTATTGTCTAGTGGATCGCCGATTTTCACATTTTCGGCGACAAGTCCTTCCCCTGGTTCCCCGTAGAATATCTTCATTGTGGAGCCTGGCATGGCCGCAGTCGCCGTCAACGGTGTTGTTCCCAGAGCACTAAATTAAAAAATTAAGTTTAGCAATTTTATGTTATTATAAATGTTTATTTTTAATAAAAGAATTGTGTGTGTTTACGTTGTTATGTCCCTAGGGTAATAAAAGGTATATACTATATATTATATATACTATATAGTTTTAATAAAAACATTCAGATATATTTATGTACTATTTGTAAACAATATAGATAGTACATACCAAGGTTATAATGCAAGGAAAGTTAATTGCAGTTGCGTATACTCTGCGTACATATTGAAACCAGTTCTCTCTGGGCGGAATTTGTTTACAGGAATGGATACATCAGTGTTCGTTTAGCATCCGAGGAGGATCAAAGCATTAAATTTTGATAATTTTAATAATTCACATAATAGTTTCCTATGACCAGAATATTTCATTGATTTTTTATGTGAAAGATGTCAGGCTTCGACATCCGT